TATATATATATATATATATATATATTGTCAGTGTTGAGTTAAACGAGGAAGTCGGTGTAGTAAAAAAGTGCTCAAAACAGGTATAACGAAAATAAAATAAAATAAAAATTTAACCTGCAGAGGTTTTAAATTTGAAAAAATTAGATCAACCGATCACACTACCTTGGTTTCAAACTTTTGGTACTTCAGGCGATCCGGGGTAAATAATTTCCGAGCGCATTATTATTTAAAAATAGATAAATAAACTCACAACGCGAAGTGTAATAGAAGGGGAGAAGAAAAGCAAGGGCATTGAAATTGTATAAAGGTGGGGGGGTGAAATGTAAATGTTTTCATCCTGGTTCAAACGAACTTAAAAAGCATTTTTGTGTGTAAGCATCGTTTCATTATTTCTGATCTTTTATTCAGGTTTTTCTCATTTGGATAAAAAATTTTTAGACATATTTATAAATATTTTTAATCTCACGGACCCAAGAAATACACTCACATGTGTTATTTCATTGCGTAGCGATCCTTAGAAGAACTAAAGCTCAGAAATAATGACAGGATACTTATCATAAAAAAAATTCCTTTTGAGTTCGTTTGAACTATGATGAAAACATAAACATTTCATATAAACCCCCTTCGATACAATATCAATATCTTTGCTTTTCTCCTCCCCTTCTACTATGCTACTGCGTTATGCGTTATTATTATTATTATTTATTTATTTATTTATTTTTAAATAATACAGCGTTTGGAAATTATTTAGCCCGGATCGCCAGAAGATACCGAAAGGTTGAAACCAAGGTGGTATGATCGGCTGATATATATATATATTGTGTGTATTTATGCAGCATTTTTTCATTCATACATGTTTCATTAAATGATATAGACAAGTGTTTTCTATTTTATGTAAATTCTTTTCATAACAATATGCAATTTAAATTGTTAAAAACTTTTCTTCTTCGTTTAATGATAATGTTATTAAGCTTATCAGACGTTATGAAAAGAATTTACATAAAATAAATAGACAACACTTGTCTATATTATTTAATGAAATATATATATATATATATATATATATATATATATATATATATATATATAGATATAGAGAGAGAGAGAGAGAGAGAGAGAGAGAGATTTACCTGATGGACCAGGAAAAATCTATTTAAAAAGTGGGGGGTTATTTGTTATATTTAAAGCTGGTTATTTGTTTGTTTTTGATGACTGTGTATATGTGTCTGCATACATCGATGTTTGCGTTAGTACGATGACAAAACGACGAAGTTTCCCCCACCACTTCCACAATAACACCAATACACACAATCAACATAAACCCAAATTTTTTTTAAAATTAATCAGTTTGTCTGACGATCGCTAAAGCGTGAAACCCAGGGTCACAAACTCACATCTATCCAACCAAATATGTTAGCTCTATCTCTGATATTGAGCGCTTTCTAATAAGTACCGCACATATAATATATAAATAATTATACATATATATATTTATTTATATTTATATACACACACTTTTCACACACACACATATATATATATATATATATATATATATATATATATATATATATATATATATATAGAGAGAGAGAGAGAGAGAGAGAGATGTTACCTGATGGACCAGGAAAAATCTATTTAAAAAGTGGGGGGTTATTTGTTATATTTAAAGCTGATTATTTGTTTGTTTTTGATGACTGTGTATATGTGTCTGCATACATCGATGTTTGCGTTAGTACGATGACAAAACGACGAAATTTCCCCCACCACTTCCACAATAACACCAATACACACAATCAACATAAACCCAAATTTTTTTAAAAATTAATCAGTTTGTCTGACGATCGCTAAAGCGTGAAACCCAGGATCACAAACTCACATCTATCCAACCAAATATGTTAGCTCTATCTCTGATATTGAGCACTTTCTAATAAGTACCGCACATATAATATATAAATAATTATACATATATATATTTATTTATATTTATATACACACACTTTTCACACACACACACACACACATATATATATATATATATATATATATATATATATATATATATATATATATATATATGGGGTGCTTATGAATTTTCTTATATGTAGGGATTATTGACTGCTGATATCTTGGTAAGCAACGCGATGGTGTAATTTAAATTGTGTTTTTATGCAACGCAACAAATGTTCTTTTAAGACAAAAGACATTTTGTGTCGATTGTGTTAATTTTATTGATCGACTTTTATAAATTACGAACAACCCTTCTCAGATAAAGAGAAAATTCCTTTAGAAATTGGTCAAAGTTAATTCCTGAAGAAATATGGTCCAAGCTCACGACTTTCTTAACTTATCATCAGGGTAGATGGAGACAAATGGTGAGTTTCGTAGAACTGGTGAGTGTAATGACGCGGATAAAGAGTGTTGTGACGTGGGCGAAGTGTGACACATCTGGGTGTGCGTGTTATATATATATATATATATATATATATATACATATATATATATCGGATGCGGGTTCTTATATTCCCGCATCCTTAAATGTATATAAAAATACCAACACTCTTTGCCTTCGTCACTACACTTACCAGTTCTATGAAATTCATCATTTGTCTTTACTTACCCTGATGACGACATAAAAGAGTCGAAAGATTGGACTATATTTCTTCCGAAATGAATTATCTGAGGATTCGTTATTTGAAAACTTGATCGTTAAAAGTCTGTCTTCAACGTTTAACGTGTGTAGTAGCGAGTTATCTGAGAAGTGTTCCGTTTAACAATGGCAGGATATTCATATGGTGAGCAGGCAGATATGATTTTTACATACGGTCGCGCGTATGGTAATGGACGCGAGGTTGCACGGCTGTATTAGATTGTGTTTCCACACCGAAGGTAGCCGAGTCATCTAACTGTTGTTTATAGTCGCGTTGCTAGGACAAGATCCGTGGCACCTCAAACTATGGATCGAGGAAGACCGACGACGAAGAACACATTCTACATAGCCTTTTAGACATATGTTTATATGGACATTTTACCTTGTTTCTGTGTCAGGAACTAGCTACCAAAGTTTGTATAGTATTTTTGATACATCCTGTATTGTCTTTTCTTATCTGTGATGTGATTCCTCCTTATCAGGAATTTCAGTTTCTCACCGTCAACCCCAGAAATAAAGGTTTCATTTTTAATAGACTCCAAATGCACAATAAATGATATTGCCTATTTGAATATGTCAAAATGGCGCCTCCTTTAAGTTCTTGACTTTAAAAGTCATTTACTATGATTGATATAATCCAGTGCAGGATTAACCTGGTAGCAAAGTAGCAAATGCTACCGGTCCTACATTTTTTTATTGCCCCGCATTAAATACTTTCAAGTTGTCAGGTGAAATCAGTTTCTTACAGTCAGGCAGTGATACTTATTGCATGTTTGAAGAGATCTCAAATTATTCATCCTTTCAGAACGTCGCCATTTGTAATATTTCCGGATGCAGATCTAATAAAAACATGAGATTAGATCCCTCATAAGTAACATCATTGTTTATTCAATTAGTCAGTGTGTGTTATTTTTTCTAGTTTTCTCCAAACGTGAATACTACATTCTCATGACTATATAAGAGGATCATTTTTCTTCTTTCCAGGGTGGGTGCTTATATATTATCCAGTTCGTTTCATGTGAGGACATTATAGGCGCAGTTAGAAGTGCAAGAAAAGAAACTGTTAGCATAGAATTTACGGTTACATCTAGCCATCTGTAAATTAATGAGATCTCGACGCCAATCTAGAATTGTGTTTATATTCTAGCTGTCATATCAGGACCAATAATATTGCGAGCATGAACACTTTATCATTTACAGGCTTATGACTTTGTATAACTAGAAACTGAAAGTAGTTTATTCCCTGGGTATTGAAATACAAAAGATAGGAAGAAAACACAATAAAAAGATTTTCTTCTCCTGTCATTGATTCATCAAAGAGTAGATTATCTGCACAAAGATTACGAAATATCTTAACTGTTTTATAGACTTCTTAAGAATAATCTGCTCATTGAGGTGTTGTTAACAGATATAATGTCAATGAATAGTGATATCAGATTATGGGATAAAATTCTTTAATTACATGAAGACTTTTAGATAAAGTCAGATGTTGGGAGTACTTTAAATATTTTGGGTGGCAAATTTAGAATTTCAGTGAAAAAAAGTGAAAAGTAGGAGAACTGTTATGGCTGGGCTTATAAATTCTTTAAAATCTATTCAGATCTTTAATTTTTAGCTATCGAGTTTTGGTATGTGTTATAGAAGAATAAAATGTCCTGCCGACACTGGAGTTTGAACACAGATCACCAGTGAGCAAACACAGGTGATTTCATTTCTAATAAGTAGACCAAGTGATAGCAAAGGAAATGTATATATGTGAATTAGCTTGGCGTCTCATTGATCACCATTTCTATTCTATCTTCTATTATTATACAGATCTGTATTTCTACACTATCCTCTATTACTACACGGATCGCTATTCTCTATAGTATTCATTATACTATTTCTCTATACTGATCATTACACAGATTACTATTCGGTGGTTACTTTTCGAGCGAGTATTATCCAGCAAGTACGATCAGTGCGAGTGTTATTCGAAGGCGTCTGATACCAGTATTGTTCAACGGCCTTACTATAGTTGTATCTGCGATTACATAGCTTCTGCTACGAGCATTACGAAAGTGACAACGAGTATTCGTTGACATTACAAACGTGGCAATGAGTGTTCGTTGACTTTACAAAAGTATGGAGGAAAAAGAAACCACTTTGATATGCGATAATAAATTATTCTTTAAACGCCAATAAAAAGCTCTTATCACTTAATAAACACTTGCTACATCCCTCTATAAACACACAAAAGTAAAAACCTGAATGCTTTTAAATTTTTCAGTAAATCAATTCTACTTAAGAAAACGAAATGTGCATCAATGTATTTTTTGTTTAACACTTTTCCCAGACAATATTACAGGTTTACGGTCGTATCACGTTGAAACACCTGTTCCCGTACGCTCATCGAAGTTAAGCAACGTAGAGACTGGTCAGTACCTAGATGGGTGACTGCTTGGGAAATACTAGGTGCTGTAGACTTGGATATGTGGTTGGTGTAATAGATAATCGCTCGGAATTCTTAATCGGGTTAATTAGTAAGACTTGCAGAATAAAACCATTATTAACCCTAAAAAACAAATTCTTACAATCTAAGAATATTTTCTGTCTTTAAATAACCTGCAACGAGTTGATAAGCCTTAGAAAACGAATCAATCAATAAACAAGTTTTCCGATCTATACGTAAATAATAGCGCCATTTTACTACTAATAATATTATTAATAATAATAATAATAATAATAATAAGAAGAAGAAGAAGAAGAAGAAGAAGGCTCTGTCCACTGACTCACTATCATCTCTGTTTGCGAGCGGGGAAAGTGGGTAATTTGGAATTTTGTCGAGAATGGCGAAAAGCATTCTGTGGCTGATAACTATTAAGATCGAACTGATAAATTCTAAAAAAAAAAAAACTTCAGATCTATTCAGATCTTTAAATTTTTGTCTGTTGAGGTGGAGCATGAAGTAAAAAAGAGTTAGGAACAACTTGTCTACTGAATTTCGAGGTGGAGTCAGTTAAATATCAATACCAATAATATCTCTGTTAATTATCCAATTCCTTCATTTATTTATTACCAATTATCTACCCACTAAGGAATTTACAGATGAGGCTAGGATCACGGCTCATTTGATAACAAAGCTGTCATTTTTATCATGATTACTGTGTGGGTTGCACACACATGCAATCACACAAGAAACAACGTTCACAACGTAGATTTTGTAAATTTAAAAATCAATTTTATTGAATTCTTTTCCTCCACGGACGTAATATAGAACCATAACAAATGATAAAGAGGAAAAATAATTGGCCCAGCCGAATTGCTATATTTTGCTGTTGAAAAGTCATAAACTCGGAGTCCCTTAAAAGAAGCATTACTGAAGACGGCAACGAAGAATTCAGTAGACGTATTCACTTCAACATGATTCCACTTCGGCTACCAGCAACTTCAATGAACTGTCTTCAATCGTCTATCCACTTCCATTTCGGCTACCAGCAACTTCAAAGGACTTGTCTTCAAATGTCTATTCACTTCAATCGACATGATTAAGTCCAAGGCCACAGCTGAAATTTCAACGGACATCTTTCTCTCCTCTTCCCCCCTCTCTCTCTCTGTATGCATGTATGTATGTATGTATGTAAATCCACTCAATCGTTTCCACGTGTATACACACTTTGTATTTAAACTGAAAAGCGCATTCATTTCAGAGAACAATCAACTTTAAATGACATTGTACTCATCTCATTTGTTTTGTTTGAACCATACAATATAAAATGATCCTTATTTTTATTCTGTTGATCCATATATGTGTTGAATTAATTTATTTTGGAATGGTTAAAATGTTCTACCGAATTTTGTTAGGGTACTAACGGTTAATTTAAACGAACCTCGAAATAAATATTAACCCTGTTCCCTAAAACTGCACTTCTTAACTTATTGATAAACATCAAAACTTTAAGTTAGTTTCTTAGTATTGTCGCTCATTTTTTCAATGCCAGGTGCTTTCAGAAAATAAGCGGTCATGACTCTCTACTGCTTCCTTTCTATCTGTGAATTGAGATTCCTTCTTGAGAGAGGTGCTGAAGTGGTTTCCTATTGCCTTCACGTTTTGAATTCTACAGTAACAGCAGTCACCAAAGCTAAAGAGCCCACTGTATTCTGTTATTTAACCCTTAGCCTCGGAGAAAATGTCATACACGTGTTTATTGGTAAAGCAAGAAATGAAAAAAGAAATGTGAAAAGAAAAGACTGATTTTACAAAGACAGCAGTAGCATTATCCACTCATTAGAAAAGGAGGGGAAATTGCTACATGTAGTAAATGTGTGCGTGGAGGACAGCGGGTAGGGTGTAGAATTCAGAGAATTTACATATTCTTGCAGAGTCGCAGAAACATTAACTGCGGTGTCTTTCGATTGGCCAAAAAAAAGGCTTAGTATTTGATCACGTGACTTATGCGCTACTACATCCGCGCAGCACTCACTAAGCAACCCTGTATGACTAACCAACGATTATTCTATTTTATGTTGCAGTTTTTTATGTATATCTATCTACTAGTGAGTTAGCCCAAATGACTTGACTCACTTTATAGTCCACCAATAGAAGGTTAACCAATCAGATGTAGAACATTCAATCTGTCGTGCATAAAGGCGGCCATTTTGTCTTCTCTACCCGAATGTCCAGTCCAACTTGTCAGGCGAAGAGAAACAGAAGGAATAACTACGCTCTGCTACTTTTACCAGGATATCCACTGCTAACCTGAACTACGCGTTTCTACTGTCTTCGAAATATTCACTGCTAACCTCTGGATTCTATACTCAAAGACGACCGTCATCATGAACAACATTTTAAGCCACGAGGAAAAGGCTCATAAATTACGACGAGATTTGAATGTTATTTAGGATGTACCAAGAAGAAATGTGTTCATGCTAAACGTAACAGACTAGGCTGGAACTTGAACTCGGCTGGCTGGTTCCATTTTCTATGCTAAAAACCTTTACTTACATATCCCCAATTTTTTACTTATCTCAAAACATGTCACACTGTTTAGATGGAATATTAAGGAACTTTATAAAACCAATATTTATTTAATCTGGCGCTCCGATTATATATCTATAGATTCTCGACAAAATCCAAATAAGAGAGTCTGCAATTGTATCGCTCCTGACCTGACATATTGACTTCAGTCAATTTCCAACTGACGTGGCGTGGCTAGCTTGACTTTTCTATAAATATTTTCATGGCAATTGATCTCCTCCTCGTTACCTCAACTGCATGAAGTTAAACTTATACTAGATTACCAACTAAGTCTCATCGTTTTACTATTGAAATAGCTCGATGTAACTGTACTTTCTGTTCTAATATTTTCTTTTCTTGCACTTCTCATCTCTGGAATTCTCTTCCGGTTTATTGCTCCCCTTCCGCTTACAATCTTCAAAAGTTTAAATGTAACGCCAATCGTGATCTTCTGTCTTCCGGAACCCTATTCTTTTATTGTACTTTCTCCTCACTCGCATTATCATTCTCTTCCATTCACCGTTACTACTCCTTGTACAGTGCCGAATTGACCTATAGGCTTAACAGGTTGAAGCCTAGAGCTTCCAAATCTAAGGGAACTCCAACCAAGGTGCATCATTTTTTGACACTGTCTTAGGCCTTTCTTTCACTTGCTGTCATAAAGAATTGAAGGGGCCTCACAAGTGGAATAGCCTAGGGCCTCTTTTCATCTAAATCCAGTCCTGTTGTTGCGTTTTAGTGTCATTATCGCCTTGCTTAGGGTGGAATTATTTTAAAAACATCAATTTTCTCTTGTTACTGTCTCACATCAGGAAAATGAACACGTACACCAGTTCTGATTTATTTAGTAGAAATGCAGATTTAATTTATGAAAAATATTTTTCCTAAATCTAATCTCAACATTCGTACAATTAAAAAAAAATTAAGAATTTTGTAAATACTTTTCTGACTCATATCAAGTAATTTGAATTCCATTCAAGAAAACTTTGGTAGTTTTTGCACATTAGAATAAGTTTTTCAAAATATTTTGGTAAATAACAACAACAGAAAATATTCTTTCAGCTTCTGCTCTTGAAAGATGAGGATAATTTTTAGCTGATAGAATAACTTTACGTATTAGTAAAAGAATTCCATATTTTAAAGATAAAAGCCAATTATGTTACGCAGGAAATGGTGGAGGTAAAGCACGATTAATATTTATGTTTCGATTAAATTTGAATTTCCTAACAGAATTCGGTAGAAAATTTTAACAATCTCAAACATGTGAATTCAGGCTTCGTTACTTTTGAGCTAACAGTATCACAAAAAAACCAGGGTCATGTATACACCTTATTCTATATTGAACTAGATATCTTCATTCATAGTACAGGAATGAGCACAGTGGATACAGTCTCCTGGTACGGATCTGTCGACCCCTAAATACACATAAAGATCGAGAAAGCTAGCAAAGATGCATAATTATTGGTACCAGTAGTGTTGAGCATCAAGTTGTGACAAGATGTGACTGTTGTTCTTCAGTGGGCCAATAGATCTTGTATCGAAAAGCTGTTTATCCATCACCAAATCGATGAGGAGGACACCTTACTAGAATGGAAGATGACAGATTACCGAAACATTTATTTTACGGACATTTACCATATTGCGGAAGTCCAAAACACAAACCAGAAAAAAAAGAAGGATGTTATTATAAACAATCATAAAACTCTTGATGTTGATACTAATGACTCGAATATTGAAGATACCGACTTTTTCTGTAGACAGCTTAAGAAAGAAGTCTTGGAGGTACCTGAAGGCTGAAGACTGTAGCAAATTGTTGCATAAGGCCCAAATTTAAGTGAAGTGAAGGAAACAATACTTGAAACATCGAGAAAGTTAGAGTATATTCTCCCTCAGCAATTCAACGCTGAATCTGGAATGTAATGGAAAATAGATTAGTTTCAAAACATCGAAGTCCAGGTCAGAAAAGTAATGGTTTAAGGGAACTCTTAATTGATCAAAGACTTTGTTATAGTGGAACACACCTATTCTATAGTTAATAGACTCTCCTATAATAAGTAGAAGTAGTAAGAGTAAGAAGTCAGTCGCTCAGTGAGTGGGTCAGTTAGTCGATGTCGCACATTAAAGTATCAGCGACCACAACTAGATTACTCTGCGTTGTACCTATTATATCAAGTTCCGAACGTTTTGTACGTCGAACCTATTTTAGGACCGACTTCGTACAAATACGAGCCTCCACTGTGAAACCACTACATAACAGACTTAAAAGTCAAAAGTTTCTTACATAGTGTATTTTCTCTCTCTCCCTCCTCTCTCTTTCTCTCTCTCTCTCTCTCTATCTCTGTGTGTATATATATATATATATATATATAGAGAGAGAGAGATCTCTCTCTATCTCTCTGTGTATATATATATATATATATATATATATATATATATATAGAGAGAGAGAGAGAGAGAGAGAGAGAGG